TGGTCCCAGCATAAACCAGTTCCTCCATTTTCTGTGAGAAGCTTAGAAGTGGGAGAGAGGGAGAGAGGGATAATGTGTCTGGTGAGCGGGGCTGTGGCTCTGGTGTTTCCGGTGGCTGAAATATGTTGTCCCTGGCTGTTTGCTTGTTGTTGTGGCTGCGTGTTATCAGTGTCCTTGTGGGATGTGTCAACCACATGATGACTCGGAAGCTGATATTAAGTCCTGTCGTCACTCATACTCTGTCCAGGTGTGTGTGTGCCATTCAGGTTGAGTAGTTTGGCACACACTACAGAAGGATGACGGAGAGAGAAGTAGATATTGTCCTTTAGCTCTCTTGCACCAAGTTTGTTTGGGTGGAGGCCATCCAGTTTAAACAGTTGTCTATGTCCCCAGAAAAGATTGAAGTTGTCGATGAAATTGATTCCTTTTAAGCTGCAGATTCTTTGTAGCCATGTGTTCAGCCCAAGCAAACGTGAAAACATATTAGTTTCCCTTGCTGGGAGTGGTCCACTGATGAACGACTGAACTTTAAGTCTTCTAAGTGTTTCAAAGAGTTCACTGAAGTCCTTCTTAAGGAGTTCTGACTGCTCTTTCCGAATATCATTCTTCCCCACATGGATGATGATTCGATTTGCAGTCTTGTGCTTCATTAGAATTTTCTGAAGTTCCTTGTTCATATCAGAAATGGTTGCTTGAGGAAGGCAGCAAGTTGTTGTATTTCTGCTACTGATGTTTCTGATAATGGCTGTGCTCTGAGCTGAATGCCGCTGTCTGCTCGACCTTGAGCACCTGTTAGTAGCGATGTTAGCTGCTGGCTTATCTGATCCATGTTTAATCACATTTGGGGATTCCTCACCCGCATTCATTAATGCTTCAAATCTGTTCTCAAGACGTACAGGGGGTGGTAGAATACCAGTATTCACAAGCCTTGTCATAACCGAATCTTGGGTAGAGGATGCTACGGCAGCAATACGAGAAACTCATGACAATCTGATGTTTCTACTGCCTTTGGGTCTCGCTCCCTGTTTGTGCCATCGATTAGTGTGACAATCAGTTTCGGCTTGTTCCTCTACACTTGATATAAACTGTTGAGATTCACTAGATTCATGGGACTCACCGGCTGTATGCTGAGGGGGTCCGTGACGACGGTCTGCTGAGTGTTCTGCCTGTTTTGGAAGTCCAGCAAGTAACTTTGTTTCAAGAACCGCAATGTAGAAGTTTGCAGCAGTTCATGCAGCAAGTAGATTCAACAGGAGCATTATCTTTCTCTTCTGTTTGAATGTGGGCAGCTGTGTTTTCCCTTCTCCGGAATGTAAGCTGCTGGCAGTGGGAGGCAAAGTATTCTTTTTCGTGGTATTATTCCAGTTCCAAAGAGTTTTTAGTTTTAGTGTTTGTGCTAAAAATGGCTCATTGTCAGGAGCTATCTGAGTAACAGAGAGCAAAAGGTGAAGTGGGGTCCCTGTGTGTGCAACTCTTATCCAATTC